CACACACACACACACACACACACAAATGTTTTGGTAGTCTTTTATCATGTATCAATCCATTTTCATGTAAGAATTTTATCAAGAGAACAATTTCAATAGAAATCAATAAAACAAACCACATCTACAACATAAAAAACTCCAGGGAAAAAAAATAGATTTTTATCAGCGAACTTTAGAATTTTTTACAGTCTAAAAAGATAACAGATTGAAAACCCACAAATTCCATCATATCCTTAGAATTTACATTAATATTCAATTCAATTAAATCTGTGAGGCTTCAACAACTCCATCAATAAGGAATAAAAATACCTTCATCAAGATAATATCAAGAAGTTCCGTTCCCGCCTTTGCATCACAAGCCTCTGATGGTTCATTACTATCAACACAAAAAACAGAATATAAATATATAATTCATAAAACGACAAACCAATAAATTAAATTAAAATTAAAAGAGAGAAAAATTAACAAAATCGTACGTGATGTGAAGCAAACGAGAGGGGGATCTGATGGGTTCATCAAATCGAAGGGGAAGACCAACCCTGCGAGGCTTGGGACAAACGACGCCATCAGAATCACCCTTCTTTGCCATGTCTCCAACACAACCCACCAATGAATTCTGTTGGTATACACACCCGTTCATGGTTTTTGCCTTATTATTCACAAATCCAAAGCCTAAAAGACAAACAAAAACACCCAACTTCAGATCTATACATACAGATTACATAAAACATATAAACAAAAAATCAAAAGGGTATGCATAATTTCTGAAAATAATTGGTATACACAAAGAAAAGATGAAGGTTACCTGGGAGTATTATCTGGCAAACGAGTTTTGCCAGGCTTGGAAGAGAGAACAAAAGACAGTTTTGAGGGGTGCGAGGAAGGAGGATAAAAAATGGGGATAACTGGCTATTAATAGGAAGAAAATTGATGCTTGGGTGGGGTCGGGGGAAGAAGGAGCGCGGCTGGTTCTTGGTGTGATAGGGCTAAGATGATAAGAGTGCGAGGCATTGTGTTGAGCACGTGTTACTTTTATAATATATTTGAATTGTCAAATTTTAATTTAATTTTGATATTTCCATAATTAAAAAAGAAAGGGAAAGTGAAAAATTGAGAGAAGAAGACCGTGTTTGGTGTACATAGGGATGGCAATACCCGGCTCTCCACTTTTACCCTCGTGACGAGCCAAGTTGGTGCTCGTTACTCGAGGGTTGAGCTCGGCTCACGAGCTCGCCTAATTTTTTATTTTTAAATGCAAAAAATAGGTAAAACAAATAAAATCTATGTTTGTTTTACAAAAAAAACAAATAAACCAAGAAAAAAGATTTAATTAATATGATCTTTTTCTTTTTAAAAGAGATAAAATATAAACCCTTATCTTTTATCAAAA